TGCATAGTATTTAAATAAAGGATCTAGACAGACAGACGGACAGATAACAAAGTGATCCTATAAGGGTACCTTTTTTTCCTATGAGCTACGGAACCCTAAAAGCAGGAGAGAAAGTATTTCATATGTTACTTATTGCACCATATTATGTTCCAACCCGCACTTGGCCAGCGTGTTTGACTATGGCCTAGTCACCCTTATTTCAGGGTAGGCTCCGAGCCCCTTTTTTTTTTTTATAGTCAGGAAATGCATTTACGCACGCCTACGCCGGGCGGTGCAATGGCGTAGGGAGTGTGGGACTCGCCGGCCACAGAAGGTGACCAGAATACCCACTAAAACCTGACTGCCCCCTGACGCATCGGGATGGGGCCACGGGCACGCTTTCGCTCTCGTCCGCGGCCCGGCTCCGAGCCCCTCGGTGGGGACATATAGTGAGCTGATGATTATGATGATGATGTTTATGATTATGATTGATGATCTGTAGCAAATTTAATTAAGATTTGTTAAACCATTGCGTAGATATCAAGTAAATATGTAAATCAAACGTAGCCAAGTTCTAGTCTGTGTTATATATCTTAAATTTTATATAAGTTGTTAAAAGCGATTCAGAAAGTTTATCGTGATAAATAATTTTATCTTATATCCTTATTAGTATAGACTACCGGTCTCCTGCGACTCCGTCCGCGCGGAATAAAAAAAACAAAATTAGCAGCCTATGCGTTTTTCCATACTATGTTCTATATCTATGCCAAATTTCATTGAAATCCATTAAGATGTTCTAGAGATACCTTCATGCATGCATTCATCTAAACATTCGCATTTATCTTATATATAAAATTCTCGTGTCACAATTTTCGTTCCCATACTCCTCCGAAACGGCTTGACCAATTCTCAAGAAATTTTGTGAGCATATTGAGTAGGTCTGAGAATCGGCCAACATCTATTTTTAATACCGCGCGGACGGAGTCGCGTGCGACAGCTAGTAATGTAATGTTAGTAAGAAGTAAGATAATATTTAGTTTTCCAAAAATGATTTAAAAGTCAGCAATCATAATTAATACGCTATTTACCAATAATCTTGAGAAAAATGCGAAATTGATTGAACAGCAAGGGGAAATCTGAACGTATTGCTTTGTGTTTTTATTAGATGCAAATTTTTAGACGGTTCGGAAATGGGCAAGGCAAGGAAACACAAATCAACATTATTGCAACATCTTGTCAGTAATGTTTTTTTTTAATAACAACAAAAAAAAACGAGGAAAACATAAACAATAGAAAATTAGAGGATTAATGTCCATTTTACACGCACTACTTTAAGGTACATTTTAATAATATTCTAGATCTTAAATGTACAATGTAATCTATATATATAAATAAAATTGAAATGCCTGTTTGTAATATTGAAATAATTGTTTTTTATTACATGTATATGAATATATGTACGGTACCACCTTAATAACATTTTTTTAAATTTTTGTCTGTCTGTCTGATCGGCTAATCTCCAATGGCTGGACTGTTTTTGACGGGACTTTTGTTGGCAGATAGCGGAAGTAATAAGCTAACTTAGGCTACGTTTATTTTAGAAAAAAATATTTTTTTTAGAAACAAAGTAATGTTGCAATTTCCAAGTACCGTCTAATACCACGAGCAGCTCAAATATTACACGCGGACGAGGTCGCGGGCACAGCTAGTATTGAATTGAGCTACAGGCTACGGGTATCCTTCGTTTTGATTCAAGAAAACAGTGAAACGTCAAATTCAATTGATGGTGGCATTTACGATATTTAACCCGGACTGATAAGAGAGTCTTGTTTTTCGCGCGTATGTAAAATTGTTTTTTTTTTGTGAATTTGTAATAAATGCCAGTAGTAAATAAAGTTTGAATACTAGTTGTTGTGAACATTTTAATGGCCAGGAATCATTATTGAATTAAATATTTATAATAGTGTAACTGCTTTGAAACACGCAACATATATTTAGGGTTCAATTTAGGTTATTAAAAATTCCAATTTTTTTTTTACAAATGTTTGCATTTAATACCCAAGAGTTATACATATTAAGCTTGGTCATCAAAGTTAAAAAGGATTTTTTCTTATCATTATTAGGAATTAAGCAAACATCAAGTGCTTATCACAAGGGCTTATCGGATCTTGTTGAAATTTGGCATAAATGTAAAACATAACATGGAAGACATCGGCTACTAATTAAGTTTTTTTTATTCCGTGCGCACAGAGTAGCAGGCTACAGCTTGTCTAAAAAAAAAAGGATACCGATATTTCATCAGATTAATATAAACGGAACCACAGTCGTATTTTCGCTTTTTTACTCTATTTAAAATCAAACATCGTCATTTTGCATTTGATTTTCGAACCGCAAACAATGTCTGCTATTAAATTGTCTTATAATTTAAAAATTAAAGGACGAGAACTATGGTGGCATGAATACAGACGTAGAAAATTTCGTCAACGTAGAAAAATTAACATCGAAATAGCACTACGGAATATCTTCAAACAGTGCTTTGTAGAATATACAAGAAATAGCTCTGTTGGAGGCTTGTGGCAGATTACTAACCCAAAGACACCAATTACACAAAGGTAACAAAGATTTAAATGTGTACTTGAAACCTCTCAACCGATCTAGCTAAAAACATAAATATACAACGCGGCCTGGAAGAACACCTGTATGTTCTTCCAGGCTCGTAATTTTTATAATTCACGGTTCCGTACCTTGATAGTAAAAAAACGGAACCCTTACCATATCACTCTGTTGTCCGCCCGTCTGTCTGTCAAGACCTTTTACTCAGGAACACGTCAAGATATCAAACTGGAATTTATATCAAATACTTAGGTCTATAGTCCCTTGGTGTTGTGAAAAAATCAAACTTCTAAATCAACGCAATTAAAAGATACGTGTCATTTATGTCCCAAATTTCCAAATTTATTAACTCTGCACGTACGCAGTCGCGGTTTTGCAAAACAAACAATTGGTATAATATTTAATAGTGTTTACATTGGATTTGCTTATATTCTGTACTACCAAAAGACCTGTTTAAAAACTTATTGCACAGTTATGTTTTATATATGTTTCGTGAATTATATCTCACGGTTATCTATTGCAGGATTGTTTGGTTGATGATTTTTTGTTTAATGTGTGGAATAGGTGCTTACTTCTTCTGGTATCTTTGGTACGGAAGCCTCTCCAGTCCATTGATAATCACTATCCAATCATCTATGTACCCGATATCAAACATTGAGTTCCCAGCAATTGCTATTTGCAATACAAATATAATAAGCAAAAAAGCATTATTAGAATTAGAGTGGAACAAGTAAGTAAATAATATTACTAATATTATAAATGTTATATTAAAATACGTATGTTTAGATGAATGGATGGATGTTTGTTTGAAAGTATATCTATAAAATTTGAATATAGAACATAATCTGGAAGAACACATAGGCACAATTATGTTTTTTTTAAGTTTAAATAATCATATTACCAAGTCTACCCTAAGTCAGGGGTGACTAGGTCATAGTCAACCACGCTGGCCTACTGCGGGTTGACTTCACAAATATCTTTGAATTTCATCGCAGATATGTACAGATTGCATCACGATGTCCTTCGCCGTGAGAACGTCAGATAAATGTACAGATATCAATCGAAAAACACATTACTACAAAGGGGGATTCAAACCCAGGACCTGCTGATTACAAGTCAAGTGCAAGTATGTGAAGTGAACTTTTTGTATTCCTTTAAAAAAAAGCAAGTCGATGAAAATCTAATTTGACCCAGTTTATGTTAACTTGAACATCAATAAACTCGAGTTGGACTAGAATTGACTATGGTATAATCGTCCTTGACTTGGGCTGAGAGTTGCTCCAAATCTTTGTAAGAAAATGAGAGTTGTCAATATATTTTTATAGGTGTATATAGAGTGTTTAGGTGTTATAGAGCGTCGGTGGCTCAGTGGTCAAGCACTTGACTTGCAATCTGCAGGTCCTGGGTTCGAATCCCGCCATGTACCAATGTGTTTTTCGATTTCCGATTTACATATGTACATTTATCCGACGTTCTTACGGTGAAGGAAAACATCGTGATGCAATCTGCACATATCTGAGAATTCAAAAGATATGTGTGAAGTCAATCAACCCGCACTTGGCCAGCGTGGTTGACTATGGCCTAATCACCCTTAACTTAGGGTAGGCTCTGAGCCCCTTGGTGGGGACGTGTAGTGAGCTGATGGTGATATAGAGTGTTTATTTTTTCCAGTTATAAGACAAATGTAAGTGGTAATTTAACTTACAGCAGAATTAGGCAACTGGGCAGACTGCTAGACTATTCCTTCCATAATGATGTAAAATTGTTTCTAGAACAATACCTTGAACATAACAACGGTGTTAAGTTTGCGAGTAAAACTGTTAGTACAATGAAAAACGTAAGTTATAAAATTTTCTATGTACAAAATATTTTTGAGCTTCGAAAATGAAGGCATTTATTTTTAATATATTTCATTTCATTATTCACTCGAACAGTAATGAAAGAGTTTTTGTAATCGTTCCTATAGTTTTTAAGTTTAATCTATATGTTTAGTATAATAATTTAATATTTGCTAAGGCAATCACACAATGAAGACTTATTATGAAAACTCTACAGTACTCTATAAATCATCATTAAACGATTCTGAGTGTGACACTAAGCCCCCTAATCATAAATTAACGAAGTACGTAGTTGATATGTCCTAAGCTTTGTTAAATATGTCTAGTTGGCGCCCAAATGTAAAGAAATGCTCCTACTCTGCATGTGGGCTGGGAAGAAGGTCGATTGTAAAAGTATCTTCCAGGCCCGACGCACAAGCAAGGGATTCTGTTGCACTTTTAACTATGTTCGTGATTATAAAACAGGTGGAAAGTAAGTAAATATGATAGAAATTTAAACATACAAACATTGTTCTCGTTCGTAGCCGTTCCTGGTACATCTCACTCGCTTTTTCTTCATTCACGTCAGTTACCAATGCTCTTAATATCGACTCACTTAAGTATTTAATATGTGCACGATATAAATCCATCTTGGAAAACTGCGACCAACACTGTTACTCACTTTCGCGTCATAAATATCATTTTTTAATGTTCTTCCAATATATCCAAACCATTGAAGCATACATTTCTCAATTTTAGTTACAACCACATTTTTCCCTTAGCTATGCGATTAAATATTATAAAAAAAATTGTGTTTTCTTTTCATTTTCAGACCCACCAAACTAATAAACCAAACAAGACGTCAGCATTATCCCGGGGCCCTATACGGATTGAATTTAATAATCGATCCCCTTATAGAAGACTATTCTTACATGACCCGAGCTGTGCAAGGTGTAGAAGTAATAATTTATTTTGTCATATTTTAGCTTCATCCTACAAATCAAATTGATAAAGGTTATGTCTAGTAAATTTATACATTACCAAAATTTGTAAATTTACGGTAACATGTATTGTAGACACTGATCTTTGATCCAACGCACTACGCGGACCCGAACATTGGCAGAGTGTCGCAGCGACTCGCACAACCGGGCCACTTAATGTTCCTCGGTCTGAGCTCCACAAAACAAATCGCTACGCCGGAAGTGCGCAAATACAGCGTCGAAACGGTACGTATTGGAACCCTTTCACCCCTATATAAAGATCGAGCCTAGGTTCCTAGGCTCGGAGCCTCTCAGTAGTGACGTATAGTGAGCTGATAGTGATGTTAACTTTATTTCTGACAGAGAGGATGCCTCTTTCACGACGAACGTAAAAAAGAATACAATGACATGTATTCGTATAGTGCGTGCATCTTCAACTGTCGAATAAAAACCATACACGCACTATGCGGGTGTACACCATACGCTTTTCCCGTAGTTTCGGAAATGCCTACTTGCACATTGAACGATTTACAATGCCTGAATAAATTTAAAGGTAATAATTACTTTTTTATTAAAATTTAAAACATGTTAATGAGATAAATATTCTTTTTTTTTATATCATAAGGTGGAAAACGGGCGAGCGGCCACCTAAAATCGCTGAAATAGCGAAGTGACCGTTGCCTATAGACATACGCAATTGCGTATGCGTTGCCCACCTTTAATCGACGGAGGAGAGGATGCACAGAAAGAAAATATTTTCCCTTTCCATGCATCCTCTCATCCGGAAAGTCCACTTCCACTTTCCATCCTTTCCTTTTATGAAAAAGGGTGGGAAGGGAAAGAGGACTAAATTAGGCCTCCGGGACGCACACTCAGCAGACGAAACGCGAAATTGCTTCCACTTGACGCCTGTCTTCTGTGTGGTCGTGGTATTTCACCGGGCGACCTGGGCCAATTCGTGCGAAGATGTTAAAGCGGGCTCTACCATTGTTAAATTCTTCGTCATTATTACGTTTAGCAAATGATCTTTCGGGCAATATAAGTATTCGGAGGGCGATGTTACAAAAGACGTCACTAAGGTGCGCTAAAATGCCGTCTCTTTGACATAATTGTAACATAGACTGGGATTTTGTTTTTTGTTTATTGTTAGCGAAGCAAATAACTTTAATATACACCTATACACATCAACATTTATATAAATTATTTTATTAAATTTTAAATCTAGACAGATTTAGTAACATTATTGAAAATTTGCAATAAAATTGACCTACCATGGTCAAGATTGTTGCTACACCGTGTGTAGGTGTGTGAAGGTTATAGCTTATATTATGCTCTGTTTCAGAAAAGCTGCTTCTTTTATATCCAATTGGCACAAAAAATGCACAAGGCCTTGACAGAGAGTTTCAGGACTCTTTGTACTGTCCAGAATGTTATCCAGATTGCGAATTTACAAGGCACGACATCAAATCATCCAAAATCAACTACCATAACAAAAAAATGAAACACTCTAAATTATTTTATAAGTGAGTATTTCATACCACTAATCCAAATACGAAATAAAGAAATATTTTTACGAAATTTCACGGTATTACGAAATTATGGATACTTCGGTGTCACTCAATTAGTAGCCTGTGTGTTTTTGCAGACTATGTTCTACATCTATGCCAAAATTCCTTAAGATCCGTTTAGCCGTTCCAGAGATATCTTTTAACAAACATCAATCCATCTGTACATTTATAATATTAATAAGATGTATACTTCTATTCGCAGTGGTGACCTAAGTACCTTAAATGTAACGAATAAATGTTTTGTCTCCATATATCAATCCTCGTCCCATGGGACCTTGAATCGCTTGGACGCGGTACGGTATTGGTATGAACTAGTTAGTAAGTAAACAAAGTTTTTCGTCCACTATTTCGTCTATGACACAAAGATTTTTTTGTATTTCGCCATAAAACAAATTGACAGCATTAAATTTTAATAAAACCATCTTTTATTTCATAAGCGATGGTTCTCCTAACTCTTTTAGTGTCATCACGTCCTAATAATTCACATTAGTACGTGAAAGTTATTATGGTAGTACTGTGGGCCTAGTACGAGTATTTGTTGTATAACAATCGCATCGTCAAAATTAGTATGAGATTTTTAGTTTTCTTTACGTCCGATAGGGGCGCTGCACGAATTTTAATCGTCGTTGACGGTACGATGGCGATTGTCACACTGAACATTAACAGGTTAAAACTAGATAAATAGGATTTCTATTTAGAATTTTACATTACTTTCCTTGCAGGTAGCGTCGGTGGTGTTGCTGGAATTTTATTAGGCATATCTGCAATCAGCGTATATGAAGTTCTTTATTTTTTTGTGTTTAAATTCCTAATTTTACTTATAAAGATATATTTGAAGAGGATACAATACTCTTAAAGACTAAAAATTGTAATAGCAATAAGCAAGTCAGTAAAGTTTTTTTTTCATTTTTATAATATGGAATTTATAATTTTACGTCTTCTAAGTGTTTAGTGTACTATGTTATTGTTTGCAATTTGTATCATAGGTTGAAGCAGAGCCATCTGCTACCATGTTGCTAAATAGAAAATTAATATGAAGTTAGTATTAAGATATAAAGAGTCACTAAACTCTTTCAAACCCATAATAAAGGTTCCATTTTTAAAGGCTTTAGGTTAAGATGCAGTAGTCAATACCAAAACAAAGTTTTGAGTTCTTGACCATAACTTCAGCTTAATCAATGTAGGAATCGATTTTAAACTTGCATTAACGATTATTAAATCGATTTGAAATCAATGAAAACTTAAAATTAGATTTACTAATTGTTAAAACATTTGTATCTATAAATATTATACGTATTTATATAACGCCGTTATTATTAGTAATTAATATGTACTAAAGTTAATACTATTGTTATATTCCACTTGTAATATTAAAAACATACTAAACTCAACAATAGCATATACAATGGTAAATATCAAAGAGTATATATATTATGATTAATTTAATAATTACTTTAAAAATGGTTACATAATTTGTAAGATTCGTTATAATACGCATTTGATGCAAGTGCGTATTTAGTAAAAATTTTTCCATAGCTATTTCCGAGAATGTGCGTCATTTATCTGTCAAAAAGTCCGTGGCAGGTTTGGACAAAGATTCAGAGTCGCAATTTGCGATATTTATCAAAAATGTCCGCCAATTCACCGCCAGGAAAAAGTGACGGTAAGGAATTGTAAAATCTGTGTTATATTTATGTTTTGTATGAATAACATTTTCAAATATTTATTACATTGTATTTGTACACAGAACCTGCAGTTGACAACATCCCGCCAAATGCATTCGAAAGCTTAGGTTCTAGACTTCGCGATTTAGATGTGGATTCAATTCGTCGTTATTTAGCATCAAAACTAGGCTTCTATGAGCCCTCGGAACCTCCAATACCGACAGAACAAGTATTGGAAGAAGTGTCTTTAGACGGAATTGTGAAATGGATCAAGAGTGAAAAATGCAAAAATATAATAACACTGTCAGGTGCAGGAATCTCTACTTGTAAGTAATCTATTGTGATTAAAACAAATAACAAATCAAAAAAGAAAAGCTTAAGACAATTTCACAATGTTTTTGTACTAAAATGTATACAATATATTTACGTTACATACAGTACTATTTTAAACTGATATATAAACACGGCTAAACACTCACGTACATTCGTCCGGTGGCGGCACCGACTAGTTTCGAGCCCATCGGGGGCAGTTCATCAGGATGAGTGGTACTGGTATTATTTCGCGGACCCGGAGTGTTTAGCCGTGTTTATATATCAGTTTAGTATAATGTCTCACGAAAGTTTGAATAATTTAGTACTCTTTTCTTTATGTAAAACATTTCTATACAAGAGTAGACTTTTACTCTTTTTTTTTAATAAAACTTGTGTATTTCAGCGGCTGGAATTCCCGACTTCCGAAGTCCTGAAACAGGCTTATACCACAATCTTCAAAAGTACAATCTTCCGGAGCCTCAAGCTATATTTGATATAAGCTTCTTCAGAGATAATCCTAAGCCATTCTTCACATTGGCCAAAGAACTTTATCCGGGAAGCTTCAAACCAACAATTTCACATTATTTCATCAGACTTTTACATGAAAAAGGTAACATTTTATATCTTAAATCCATTTATTGCAGGAAAAACGTTAAATTTGAATGTAATTAAGAAAAGTAACTACTTTAAAACAGAATTAGTCCAATTTTCAGACACTGTTGTGGTATATCTCAATTAAAATTCCAAATTCCAAAGGTAATTTGTAAATTATTTAGAAAATAAGTATTTTAATCAAATTATTTCATGCCCTCACTATTATATATTGAGTATGCATTTGTACCAATATAAATGTGTTCCTCTGACATTCTTACGGTGAATGAAAACATAATCCAACCTGCACACACAAGGAATTCAAAGATATGTAAAGCCAATCAACCCACATTGAGCCAGCATGACATTTTCTATGACCTATACTCCTTGAGCAGGTCCTGGGTTCGAATCCCGCCATGTACCAATGTGTTTTTCGATTTCCGATTTACAAATGTACATTTAACCGACGTTCTTACGGTGAAGGAAAACATCGTAATGCAACCTGCACATGTCTGAGAAGAAATTCAAAGATATGTGTGAAGTCAACCAACCCGCACTTGGCCAGTATGGTAGACTATGGCCTAATCACCCTTAACTTAGGGTAGGCTCCGAGTCCCTCAGTGGGGACGTATAGTGAGCTGGTAATGATGAATGATGATACTCCTTGCCTAAGCTTCTCTCTGTAGGGACATATATGAACTGATGATAGTTAATGTGGAAGTATGAGTGAACGGATGTATGTTACTAAATAAATCAACTTCCTTTCAACGAATTTTCAACATAAAAACATGAAATAGATTAAATCAATATTTCCAAGCTGATTTAAGAATAATTTTCAGGATTACTGCTCCGTCATTACACTCAAAACATTGACACATTGGAGAGAGTTGCCGGGTTACCGGAGGAAAAGATTGTTGAAGCACATGGAACATTCTACACTTCGCACTGTTTAAATTGTAGGAAAGAATACTCTTTGGAATATGTTAAAGGTATGTTTATGTTTTCAGATTCAAAGTGTTGTGAAATAAAAAATTGTAAAAGTAAAGGCAATTACATTGACCTATTGCTTAATTATTTCAAACAGCAGTAAACACAAAAAAAATCAGTTTAAACCACTTATCTGCAACAAAATACAATATTGTATTCAATATAATAAAGTTACAGTATAATTTTATACATAGACTGTCTTATTACAGTCTTTTTATGACCAAAAAAGTCTTGGAGATGATTTTAATAACATTATATAGAAAAGGAAAAGACTTCAGTGTATTTTGTTGTATTCAACTATTATAACAAAATTTGTATATAAATTGTTTCTGTATTACTTACAAATAACAAAATAAAAGTGGAAGAATAAGTTAACACTTTCACTACCTCTAACTTGCCTCACAAGACCTCTCATAGTAGTATTGAATGTGTTAACGAACATACTGCTGTCAATTTTTTTTAATCATTAATTTAATTTTCCAGAAATAATTTTTGCGGACCAAATACCGATATGTACGGAATGTCCGGGCATCATCAAGCCTGATATTGTATTCTTTGGTGAAAGCCTGCCGGACAGGTTCCAGAATTGTCTCAGGGAAGACTTCCAGCAGTGTGACATGCTCATTATCATGGGATCATCCCTTGAAGTACAACCATTTGCATCTCTCATTGATATGTAAGTATTATATAGGTAGCTTGAAGTGAATGAACTTGTACTTAATGGTGTTTCATCGTAAAACCTACAGTCATTTGAACATTTCCTATGTATTGAGTGGAATAGTAACCAATAAGATGCAGCTTTCAAATCTATGTGGCAAAAAAAATGTTGGTTGAGTGGTACACAACCAATAGCTTTTTACTGTTATGCTGTCGTTTACAAATCTTATTGCTATCTAATTATTCAGCAGTTATTTCGTAAAAAGAAGCACAGTTTGTCTAGTTGCCAGAAACAAGGCGTTTTTTCTGGAAGTGGAACACCGCAAAATTCTTGGAATACTCTAGTTATAGAGTAAATAGCAGTTTGTCTATGGTTAAGTGTTTGGACTGGTAGATATAAATGGTCAATTGTATAGGGTGCCGGAATGGTGCCCTCGCTTGCTGATCAACCGCGAGAAGGCAGGCGAGCGCTCCCCGTTGCTGCGGCTGTGTGGTCTAGCGGGCGGTCTTCAGTTGGACGAGCACGCGGTGCGAGATGTCGCCCTCCTCGGGGACTGTGACCACGGCTGCAGGGATCTGGCCCAGCGTCTTGGATGGGGGGTCAGTCATAAAACTATTAACAAACTTGTCAGATTCATAACATGGCTGTGATTTGCCCCAGCAAAAGACTCAGCAAGATGTACATTAAACAAATTTATTTACAAACTAGATGTCGCTCCCGACTTCGTCCGCGCGAAATTAAAGAAAAATAAATAAATACCCCATGTATTCTTCCTGACTATGTTCTATATGTATGCCAAATTTCATCTAGATCCGTTCAGCCGTTCTGGAGACACCTTAGAACATACATCCATCCAATCATCCAATCATTCGCATTTACGAGTACAATATTAGTAAGAGTGACGAGTTTTTAGTTAATTTGTAAAAGTGACATTGGTGGGTTATTTTCAATATAATATTACTTGTTTCTAATTTTTTTTAGTACTCTTTAAAGGTGCCTCTCCATTTAATGGAGGTTGGCCGTTAGCTTAGTGAACAGTTTGTTTAGTTACAAAAAGCTTATTCACACTTTCGATTATTTAGAATTCTACATATCAATACAAATGTCGATTCCTAAAATAATATTTCAATTTCCAGGAGGAACTACACGCTTTAGTGACTGTAGAACATGAACGTTTGGAGCGGGAAGTGGGCATGAGTCCACAAATGACCATCCCGGAGACTGTGGATGCTGCTGGGACCAGCGCTGAAACACAACTGTAAGCACAATATTATATATTTCAAAAAAGATTGTGCACAAACCTACGTGACGTCATAGCTTGACACAAAAAAAAACTTAATTTAAAAAATAATATGATTCCTATGGCACTCAGAGAAAGCCAAGGATATCCGTTTGGTGATTACAATGAAATTAACATACACGCGATAAAACATTGCCCTTTTGTTAAAATTTTAATTTTATTTTCTGAGTTTGAGTTCAGTTTTTTCAAACTTGCATTTTTCTAGTTAACTTTGACAGATCAAAGTTTGACTTGCACAATCTTGTTTGAAACACATTGTAATTATTGACTATTGCTGTATGTAACTGCAAACTCATAATTGTTAAAAAATAATAAAAAAATCTCCATACATGGATGATTAAATATAAAAAATAAATAAAACCTAACATTTTAAGAGCTGTTTAAAATCTTACTGCCAATGGCAGATTCTTAGTCGTAAAAATCTGGGTCATAATAAATTTATTCAAATTTTTTATTAAGTAATGGTGTCAATAGAAGTCTTGTATATAGTTTTTTTCCTTTGAAAGCATTTTATTACGTACTTATATTTCAAAAATTAATTCATCATATAGTAAAGTTATATTTTATGGTAAAGATCGATAAAGTTATCTGACCTGGTGACAATAAGTCCAACAAAATTATGACAACTCACTAGCGCCCCCCTCTTAATGTCAAAAAGGGCCACAAGATCTTTACCAGCCATTTATATCCAATTGTGAATTAGTATTGTAATAATTAACTGACAATTAGCATTCTAGAGTGCTAAAATAACAGACCAGTTTTGACAGATGTGAAAAAATTGGACGCTCAAAAGCCCGATTCCAAAGTTACATAAAAAAAAACATGTTTTATGTCAATGATTTGACAACTGCTACTGTCAAAACGTCTGTCATCTAACAAGTACAGTTTTAGGTTAGGTGTAGTTTTATGCATTTCGTGTAAAATACAATGAGAAAAGGCAACGCATTTCAAATATAGCATTAGATTTTTTTATAATTAAATTGAAAAAATCAATAAAAAAATTATATTAGCATATAGTTTTTTATAATGGCAATAATTGTCTATTACAATGAGCTTGTCCATAGTCGAATGTATAAAGGTAACTGACTTCTATAAATGGATAGGCGATTGCTTGGAAATTACAGCTTTAACTTCATTCCGATTTAAACGCTCTTCTTGATGTTACGTGACAGTTAATTCTATCTATATTATTATTTCGAAGCCAAACCACCAGCGCTATTGGCGCAAAAATGGCGAATATCAAAAAGGCACAAAAACTACGTCTCATAGCCAGTCCATCTATAGAGATCAGTCATAAGGATATTTTGTTAATATAAGCCGCAACAGTAATCATTTAAAAACTCCAATTATTAAGGCTTTCAAAATATTCCTATAATAATATATTCCTAAAAAATAAAACAAACACTCTAATTATTTATAGTAGTGTCTCGTAAATAGTTTTATGGGAGTTATTTATTGTAATTTAGTATTTAGTGCTGGCAGACATTTTCATATGCGTGCAGTAATGCCTCGGTGAGGGCACTATTCGAGCCCTCTGACAAATTGCACACATTTCAATTGGTCTTATATCTGGCCATTTTTTGAATAATCACCAATTCTGTACCTGTTTTCATACTCTTAATAATATATATTTTTTATTTGCTGGTAAAATTTCATACATTTTTCATATAAAAACTAATTCAAATATTTAAAAAAACCTTAAATTATGAAATTAAATTTACATCTATAAAAACAAGTCTTTCTAAGATATGGATTTTCTGTTGCCAAAATATTCATACATACAAAATTGTATGGAAGATAATATTCTCTTCTATAAAATTAAGCTGAAATATTTTGCAGTGAAACCAACTGTCATATTGATGCATTCTTTATTCCTACTTTTAAATCTAAATACGAAAAAAAAATGATGTTTTGAAGTACAATTATTTATTGCTTGTTAAAAATAATTATCAATTATTGAATTGGTTCTTAAGTAAAAATAGATTGATATCGTTTATTTATTTTAATTTTGAAGTTAACCATTTTTTATTCTAAAATATAATAATTATAACTGTCAACTTATAATATCAATAATTTATGAAATATTATTCCAACCTAAAAAATGAAAAAGAAAATAGTAGAAAATTAACAATAAAATATTGAATGTTGTTTTCATTAATTAGTATTTAAGACTCTAAGTAACAATTTTATTAATTTAAACATTTGCAAGTTACGAAATAATTGTCAAAAAATTAAATAAATAATTTTCTCTTAAGTCTTAAATACTGAATGAAATCAAAGACTGAAATGAAAAGCAATGCTAACACCCCGGATGCCTTTAAATATATATTCCATAAATACATATATTTATGTATTGTAAATTATAAAATCATATATAAATCGTAATTGTTAAGGTGATCCTGGATTTTATTTAAGATTATTTATAATTTTACTCTATAAAAGGGATTTTTTAGTGTTGAAGTGCTTAAATTAGCGAGTTAATAAAATGATTTTTTGCCTATGTTGTTTCTTTTTCTTATGCTGAATAATCCAGTGTTTGACCACGATCTCGACATAGTATACCCAAGCAGTTAATTATCATAGTATATATAGTTTTTGATTTGTTTATGTAAATTTCAGTACATTAGATTATAAAATACTAGCTGTAACCCGCGGAATTAAAAAATAACTTAAGTAGCCTGTGTGTTCTTGCCCACTGTTCTACATCTATGCCAAATTACAGCAAGATCCCCCTTCCGGAGATATTTTCAAACATCCATCCATCTAAACATTGCATTTTTATTACTAAATTGTAATGAAAAATAAAAGTTAATCAATATTAAAATATACACTTTTATTAAAAGCCAGCTTTACAAATATTAAATTCATTCTTTAGCATCTGTTATTCCTTCCGTACTAATTGCAAACATTGCCTCCGTCTCCGGCAGACATGGGCTGTCATATATTTTACACACTCTGTTATCTCCTCGACCCTTCCTCAGGTACAAACGTGTGGTGGATGCGTGAGCTATAATGTGGCCACCAATTGGTTTCTTTGTGTCAGCATTGAAGACACCCACAGCGTCAACTTGAGCGACTACTTGGTTGGTTATTATTACCGCTACACCAAACTAGAAAATAAAATATAATTTTTGTTAGTAAAACATTGTTGAACAGTTTTAAATTCGACAGGATTTGTGTTTTACTTTCTGCGTGGGATTAAAAAAAACTGTATAGCTTCCTGAGAGTGAAAATATATTTCAAATTGGTCCAGTAGTTATGAAGTCTATTCAATGCAAATAATTAAATCTTTTAACTTTTAAATTTTAGCAGATGAGAAAAACATATTAATTAATATGTTCTTATGAAATTATTTCTGGCTATTTCTTAAAAATTTGCCCTAATAAAAAACATTATTATATCTAAGAGGTAAAAAAACGCTAATTCTCAAAAAACAAATTGATTTTTAGACAACATGATTTTTATATTACTATAGCTTAATAATTAAAAAAGGCTCATTCGGTGTAATCCTGCGAGTTTCCTTTGACACAAAAATCGTAGTGGCATTGAAAGTTTTATAGTTAAAAGACTCTACCTCATCAGCGAGTCGCAGCAACATCCTCATAAAGCGACCAAGATGTAACTGCCTAGAGTTCAGCTCTCCTCTGCCAGAGTAGTCTGTTCTATACAAAGCTGTTGCACTGTCAACTATCAGTAATGAATATCTGAAAAAAAAACAATGTTATTAATACAATATCCAAATTATAGTAAGAGTAAGATAGTAGACATAATATAAAGATCTCTTACCTGGATTCAGCCATCATAGCACAGGCCTGTACTAGAAGTTGGGTCTGATGGTCAGTATTGTAGGCGCGCGCGTAAGCGACGTTGTCTAGCACAGCCGCACCCTCCATACCATAGCGCTGCGCTACCGCCAGCAGCCGCTCAGGGCGGAATGTGCCCTCCGTGTCTATGTACATACATTTACCCTCACCACCAGACTGTTCGATTGGTAACTGAAATAAAAAAGTTTGTACACACCAGAGAGAAATACTCTATTTATTACTGCTTTGCAAATATATTCTTGTCTGAATATCAAATGGCCCAGGTAAGGTAGACCCTCCCAGATGTTGCTGGAGGGATGAGTTGGAGAAGACAAAGGACCACAAAAGGTAGTTACTCTTAGTAAGTGTTGTGTCAAATTTTAAAAGACTAATAAAGTCAAGGTCAATAACTAATTCTAAAAGGAAACATTAAAGTCAATGTATGTTAGGAATGACTTTAACTAAGATTGTTAGAGCTACTACAACAAAATGTATGTAAAAAAATAACATTTAAAATAGATATGATGGTAAAATGCCTTAGAATTGAATATACCTGACAGGTCACTGCTAATGTGTGACATAATTGTGTTTTTCCTGTTCGGAATTCACCAAAAATTTCAGTGATAGAACCTGTCTCTATTCCTCCGCCCAACAATCTATCCAATTCTTTTGATCCTGTTGTTAATTGAATAATTTCAGCTCTGGAAAATAACTTTTATACTTCATATAAAGTCTTTAATAATAGAGATGTTAAATGTAATAACTTTAAAACATACTTAAAGAAATATAACAAAAAATAAGACTACCTCACATTCAATTTTTTCATTAGTCTTATCTAAAGATTCATCTCTTTTAAAAGTGTAAAGTTATTATAAATTATTGCTTTTTTACTTGTGTAGCATCTTTAATTGGTAATTGTTAAGTTTGTACACTGCACTCTTTTATCATTAAAAACTAAGACCCTAATATTTCTCAATAAAATATCATAAATCTCAACACAAGATAATAATAATCTTCTAACATCAGAAAACTCCTTAGGTGAGTCATGTTTATTTTTAAGATTTACATCTTGAATTCAAACACTGAAATCATGTCTAAACAAGTTTGGTACCTCTTCTGGTGAAATTCTGTTGCAGTTGTGAAGCCCATAGGAACCAACTTAGAAGCTTCCAATAGTATTTTATCCGCTTTTGCTTCAGATATTCCTTTTATTGTTATTAACCATTTTTTCGGAGCATACGCAACAGATTCCACAGTATGATATCCTGCTTCCTCTAACTTCTTTATATCACCCGAGGTTATTCCATTACCCTGAATAGGAATAAACTTAGCTATTTAACTGATTTCATTAATAATTAATTAAAAGCATTAAAATTGATATCACTTCTAGTTTACTAATAAGTTGGGGTCCACAGTCGTCCAAATCTTCGTCAACAGACGCAGTTACAGCGGATGCTGTGGCTGTCATGTCTTATCATTTATTAATAACTTATTTTTAAGAATTATATATATTTTACTATACGTCACTCGATATCTTCTTTTCTCTTGATTATTTGAAACAGAATTCATAAACACAAGCACATCTCTTTGTAATTTACAAACTGTCAAAGTCAAAGTTAAGAAAAATAAAAATAGAAGTTGAAGTTTCACTTTTCCCGCTTTTCTATCCTTTGCAGATTATACCCATCAACCGCACCAAAACTTTGAAAAACCATTGTTATTAAATACAAAAGAAAATAAAAAAACTTACTACTGTACCCGTTGTTTTTAATTGGATTTTAAGTAAAGAAAAATTTTGTTTGTTTATTCTTCAAGGAATAAAATACTTAACAAGTTCACAAATATTTTGTCTGTGCCACTGTGACTTTGCTAACCTGACATTTACCAGCTGTTCGGTGACGTTTTTTTAGCGGCAAAAAAAATCTAAAATGAAACTGTGCTATTGCTCGATTTGAAGTCGGTCTCTTATTTAAATATTCTAAATATATACTATAGTTTATATTTTCTTGATAATGGAGGAAATTTCACTTTTAATTCGTGGAGAAGAGTTTATAGTGAAAAAAGGGATATTGTGTGAATATAGTGATTATTTTAAGGCAATGTTCAGTGGAAATTATATAGAAAAAGAGAAAAGCCAAATTGTTATAGATGTATGAACCTCATTTTAATATTTATCTATAAAATGTAATATAAGAAATAGTTTTGCTGTAATTATTGTTAATTTAGTTATTAACTTGCAGGTCTTACAGCCAAATATAATGCAAATTATTCTTCAGTACATGAACATTGGTTTAATAGACTTATCAGATCATTCACATCAAATAATTGGTGAAATAGCGATGGCTGCTAATTTCCTACAAATATCAGAACTTATAAAACAGATTGAATACACATTGGATATACAATTATCTGTTACCAACTGGATTGATACAATGACGATTGCTGAAAATGCTTCTTATTTAAAACTGGAAGAACATGCAGTTGCATTTGGTCTTTTATCATTTAAAACAATGAAGCCAAGGTTTATATCATCAATAACAAAATTATTCTGGTACCTATCACATCCATATTTAGACGCAGAAAGTGAATTAGATGTGTTTAAATTTGGTCTAGATTGGGTACTGAATAATGAAACTGGAGCAGATGCTATCATGATTGTACTAGGAAGCCTAGATCTAAGTAGGTTATCATTTAGTGATTTATTAGAAATTAAATCATTACTGACAGATTATAACAGTAGTCTGCCAGCTAAAGTAATTGATGGTTTGGTCTCTTTACACAAAAAATGTGGAGAACTATCACCACAGATAATATCTGAACAAAAGGAATTCCTATATGAAACATGTACAAAAAGAGTTTACGATGAAATATATAATTTGGTTAATGAAAGTAAGCATCGTAAGTTAAAGTTTACGCTATCTCTTCCGATGACAATCAAACAACCATTAGCAGATGAATCTCCGCATTATATGTACACATATACTTTAGGAGCTGGATTTGACAAGTGGTTGGAATTGGTTGAGAAAAATTTATGGGGTTGGAATGTAGCGTCTTACAATGGTACGAAACTTGTTATTGTCTGTGGTGAGTACGGTAAAGGCACTGGTACGTTTATGAGAGATGTAAAAGAATATGACACATTGAGAAGAGAATGGAATAGACACGGAGTACAACTGCCACAAAGAAGGCACGGTAGTGTTGCCGTTTTAGGTGACTCTTTGTACATTATCGGAGGTGTCGGTGGGTTTAGGTTAGTAATATTATCAAGAAACAAATCAACATAGGTTGAATTATTATTTTTAATATAGCTTTTACTTTTCAGGGTAGTATTAGATACAGCAATAATATATAATATGAGAGAAAAGACTTTTAGGAGCATCGCTAAATTACCTGATGCGATACAAAATCCGGCTATTTGTTGTCATGACAACCATATATATACAGCAGGTCACAAACACATATACAGACATGTAGAAACAGATGATAAAGACCAGTGGGAATTAGTTGCTAGTGTTAGTTTCCGAGTTAAATGCATGGTGTCCCACAAAGGGTACATATACTGTACACAAAGTTACTTTAATGAACTCTACAGATTTAGGCCATCGGTGGACAATGAATTGCAACCTCTTACTGGATTTTACTATATACCTACAGTTTTATGTAATTTAGGTGAGTACCAATTTTTAACATTTTTATTAATCCTTTTATTTCTAAGCTAACATTATTCAATCTAAGTTACAAAAGCAAACAATTCTAACATAAAGCAGCAAAGATTTTTATATTATTAGGTAGCAAACAAGTTATCCGCCATCTCAATTCGTCAAAATGGCGAAGCGACCGCTTACCATAGACATCTGCAATTGCAAATGCATTGCCCACCTTTAATTGACAGAGGAGATCCACTAAAAGAGATTATTTACCCTCCTATGCTTCCTCTCCTCCATTAGGAAGGGAAAGAAGACTTAATTTACCAAAACCCATATAATTTTGTCAGGACTTTACGAGAAAAAATGTTCATTTCTGATGTAAACCATTTAACTTTTAGGTGGACGACTATTAGCATTCACTGAAAATAATAAACTATTCAAACACACCGATGTTTTATCTTTAGAAGAGTATAGGGAAAATTCAGAGTGTCCCGAAGTTGTGTACACACAGACAGACGCACCGATGACAATAAATGAAACAGCAGGATACTGTGCGTTGGTTATGGATACACCTCCGTTATGCAAATCTGTGTCATCATACCATATGCAATATTTGACTAAATATCCCGATTGTGGAGACTGAGTTTTGTACTTTGTGTGAATGTTTTTAATATTTAAGTATTATATTTATGCAACAAAAATTATGTTTAATTACTATTTGAAATTAAGCATTCTAAATAAACAAAGAAAAGTTTGCGTTTTTACGGCGAAGGAAAACATAGTGATGCAACCTGCAAATATCTGAGAAATTCAAAGATATGTGTGAAGTCAACCGACCCGCTAGCTTGGTTGACTATGGCCTAATCGCCCTTAACTTAAGGTAGGCTCCGAGCCCCTCGGTGGAGACGTATAGTAAGCTGATGATGATGATGATTATGAAATAATCAAAAGTTTTATCTTTTCTTACATGTAGATTGTAGGATAGTAAAGTTGTATGTAATTTGAACATAAAACTTATGCTCAAGAGACTTTCTACAAACACTTTATTGAAGTAAGAAATTCAAATGCAATAACAATAAATTAAAAAGAAAAAAACATTTGTTATTAATTTACATTTATTTCGACATTCATTTACAAACATACAACTTTTTTTTTTATTAAAAAATGTACCATACATTTTGTACAATTCCATAGGGCGTATAATTTTGTTAATACTTATACAAACTACATTCAAATAAAAACAGCATTTCATGCGATCTCAATGAGACTAGTGAGTCACCACAATGCTATATTCACACGAGGGTAGCACAGTCAGAGCAGTAAACTCAGTATTGCAGTGATAATGGTGTATTGAAACAATACTACGTTACTATTGTCCTCGTGTGAAATTAGCATAAAAGAATCTTTACATTTGAAGGTTATACGAAAATAGAAGCGATATAAAAACTATAATCCAAATAAACTCTTCAACACTGGTGTTATGTAACTTATTTTTAATGTTATTTACAATATATAAAATCTTAGCATTTGTTTAGACCCTTTATTTATTTTAGTATGTGTTTATAAAAACCCAATTATAAGTACTAAGGGTGGCATTAATAGAAATTCGACCAAAAGTCTCAGTTAAAATTCACTTTAACTATGTCAAATTTAATCTGTTTGTGTAATTTTCTTTAAAAAAACCAAGTTATTTTACATTTAGAGTGCACAATAAAAAAGGTTATAGAAAGTTTCTAGCAATTTTTGAAAATTTTTCTTTATTTAAAGATGGCTAAAAAAAAAAGAAAAGTATAGCACAGATTTTTTACACATACTTAAACAAACAAGTCTAGATATTTTATCTTATGTTATTTCTGTAACATTAAAGCACCAAAGAGAACCTGAAATGTAGATTTTATAAAATATTGTTGCGTTTCATGAAGGCACTTTGAGAGACGAATTTTATTTATTTTTTCCTGGTCGCAATAATACAGTTAAAAATCACTTTATAAATACTAACAGAATAATAGCGTAAATAAACTTATATAACTAGTATTTATGTATCTATATTTTGTATAAATCTATTAAAAAGCTCATTTTTATCGCATTTTACTTAATCTATTTTTTTTTAAATTGACTTTCAAATATAAGGCGATGTAATAAGCAATTTGGATATTTTTTTGTGTGGCAATTATATATTTGGCATTTACAAGTTTCGTGAAATAGATAAAATGTTGGAAGCACTACTTTAATATCTAAAAATTAATGTGATTTTAAAAGGAAAATTGCTTAAATCTTTAACCAATAGATGGCGTTGTTTCAAATGTCAATAAAATTTTTTTTTTGAACTTTTCAGCAGTTTCTATTTAAGTTTGGTGCTGACGTTTTTTTTGGAATTACACTTCATGTCAATATAACTTAATTAACAAAAATATTTTATATTTCATAGACAATATAGATTTAAAAAAAAAATTAAATTAATATAAAAGTTAAAGGCACAATGAGAGTCCAGTATATTACTGGAAATTCTCTATTCAACATTACATTTTGTTATATATTTTATAATTTTACGTCCAACCTCCGGTCAGTTTGTGGAATAATTCCTCGTCTAGTGTTTGATTCGCGTCTTTTGATCGCATTGAGAGGAAAATGTAACCTCCAATGAACTCGTGAACAACTTTACAATCCGCAGACTGCACGGAGAAAATTATGTTGCCTTCTTCAAATTGCACCATCATGTGTTTTATTTCCCAGTTCACATTCCACGCCTGTGAATTTAAAAAACATATTTACCACTAGTAGTTGTCCGTGCGGAATAAAAAAAAATAGTAGTCTATGTCTAGGTAAATCTTATCGAGATCCATACAGCCGTTCTGGAGATACCTTCTAACAAACATTCATCCATACATCTAAACTTTCACATTTATAGTATTATATAAAATATATAGTACAGATAAAAGACTTTATTAACAACAAGAGCTACTTAAAGAGTGGAAATATTTCCGAAGTACATCTCTTCCTCTGTCAAATCCTCTTCCTCTTTCCTTCCTATCCTTATACGAAGATGGAAAGGGGATTAAAATTATTTAAGCGAAATAAACTTGGTTGTTTGCCACATTTTCCAAAAAAAATTAGACGAATTGGATAAAAAATATCCTTCATTTAAAATCGTCTAAAATAACAGTAAAAATAATGTCATGGGCGTTTTATATATAAGTTTGTATGAATGTGTATGAAGCTGACCTTCATGGTGCTGTACCGCCAGGTCTTGATGTGGTCCCCGGTGTTGGGGTCGAGGCGCATGATGCGGTTGTTGGCGATGCTGATCACCTCGTCCTTGCGATGTCCCATGAAGCGCACCACGAACAGCGTCTGCCCGTACTCCGCCAGGTTCTGCCACGTCTTTATGTACTGCAGCTTCGCCTCCAGCAACGGAAGCTCCTTCACGTTCGCGTGACTCTCCAGCACGCGCTGTGTGAACTGGAACATTGTTTAAAACTATATGACTAGCTGTCGCCCGCGACTTTGTCCGTGCGGATTTAAAAAAAATAATTTGGCTTGGCTTAAGATCCGTGAAGCCGTTTTGGAGATACCTTCTAACATCCATCCATGCAACCAACCATTCATACATACAAACATTTTCATTTATAATATTAGTAAGATTACGCCGTGGAACTGGACCACTGCGGTTAGACGAAATGCATTCGCTTCAAGGTCATTCCAAAGCGAACTACTAAAATGAACAGACAATAACTTTCGACAAGTCACGTGATTGTCGCATAATTTCATTTATTTTTGAAATTCGTTATGGAATCGCTTCAACGCGAATGCACTTTGTTTAACCCCATTAGATTGCCTTCAAAATGTTGAGTCGGTGTTTTGATGAATGTTATGTAGTTACCTTTCCCTTGAGTTTCTTGAGGTATCTGGGTGCGAGGTAGTTCTCGGGCAGCAGATGATGCAGGTGGGGGAGAGCGCGGGGCGGGGGCGCGGCGCCGGGCTGCGGTCGCTGCAGACGGAGCAGCGCGCGCACGCTCGCCGCCTCCTGCAGGAACGCCGCGTCCGCCAGCGAGCGCCCGCGCGCGCCCAGCCGGCACGCTGACACCCACTTCGCGTACTGCTCCTCCTGCACACACACACCACACCACACAACTCTCACACCAACTCTCCACTCATTCGTTTATCAACTTCTATTAGCAGGACCGGTTTTAGTAATTCCTGCGCCCTGGATAACAGATAGAGTATCTTAGGGAGCACCTCTTTATATCCGACTGTGGCGCCTGCATTGCCCCTTTATGCCCGGTGTTCTAAGATGGTCGTAAAATTTTAATTCGATTATAATACGATGACGATTTTCATAAATATTCGTGCTCTGCCACTGTTCTGATCGATCGGTCAATATGTACAAACATGTAAAGTTTCTAGTAGCATTAGCTTTGAAAAGTAATTCCGTGTTTTAATAAGTGTTTACCGAAAAAATAACGTGTGGAATTGTAGAACCAAAATATACCAACTATACCATGTAACTAAAAAATATATGAATAAAAACTTAAAATGTAATAAACCCTATACTTACATCATCACATTTGAGCCACATCTCGTTCATGGCGTCCTCCGCCGGCACCTCCAGCTTGATGCTGTAACGACCCGAGGCGGGGTGCGCGTCTGGTGTCACCTGCACGAAACAAATTTGACTTATACTATGGATGGATGGATGGATGGATGGATGGATGGATGGATGGATGGATGGATGGATGGATGGATGGAGAGACGGACGGACGGACGGACGGATGGATGGATGTATGGATGGCTGTATGGATGGATGGATGGATGTATGGATGTATGGATGGATGGATGGATGTATGGATGGATGGATGGATGGATGTATGGATGGATGTATGGATGGATGTATGGATGTATGGATGGATGGATGGATGTATGGATGTATGGATGGATGGATGGATGTATGGATGTATGGATGTATGTATGTATGGATGGATGGATGGATGGATGTATGGATGGATGGATGTATGGATGTATGGATGGATGGATGGATGTATGGATGAATGGATGGATGGATGGATGGATGTATGGATCTATGGATGTATGGATCTATGGATGTATGGATGGATGTATGTATGTATGTATGTATGTATGAATGTATCTCCAGAATGGAACATATAGAACATAGTCTGGAAGAACACATGGGCTACTAATTATGGTTTTTTTCTTCCGCGCGGACGGAGTCGCGGGCGCCAGCATGATATACTATAAAAGAAAATCCTGAAAATCTATGAGCAAGATTTCAACGGCACTGCCCTTTTATGCCCCCAGACTAGCACATGTTGGGGGAGGGGAGTTTAACAGAGTGAGTGTGTGTCTATCGCCCTGGGCAGGCGCCCTGACTGGCGATATAGGGTAGAGCATACCTCAGCTCCGCGCAGCTCGACAGCGTAGGATGGTGGGTCTCCGCGCGCCGCCGCCTCGCTGGAGGAGTGGATACGCAGCACGCCGTCACGACACGACACCCAGCCGCGCTTGTATGCCTTCAGAGTAAACCGCTTCGGCCTACAAAATTACATCCTTCATATAAAACATGTAGTACTACACGGATTTAGGGGTTACGGTATTTCACACGAAAAAAATATCAGATATCAGATCTAAAAAAAGGGTTTTTACACAGACAGACGGACGGACAACAAAATGATTCTATAAAGGTACCGTTTTGTTTCGAGGAACGGAACCCTAAAGACAATAACATGTTAATCACGTAAAAATAAATTAAATTGTTACGTTGAGAAAAAAAAAGATATTAACACAAAACTTTTTTTTTGTATTTATTAATTAAAAAAATACGGATCTACAATAGTTAGTACATTGATACAATTTTTACTATTGTGTACCAAAAATAACAACTTTAAATACAGGGGAGGGTTGAAGTCTTACGCGATCAAACAGCGTTCGTTGTTACACTTGCTTGTAGAGGCCGACATGGCGAACGGAGCAAGAATGCAAAACAAATGCAAAAGAATCAATACAAATATAAAAGTTTTATATAAAAAACATACATATATATATGTCTGAGTAACGTCTGTACGTGTGTACTTATAAGCTGTTAAAAAAATCGAATGTTATGGCCCTAAAATTTATTCAAGATTGTCCCGGTGTGGCAGACTACATAACTCTAGAAATTGTTGCCGAAACTATGAGTTTTCAGTGTACAGAAACATTTTTCGTTACCTGAGATACTTGAGGTTGTCAGCGAGCTCTGGCACGTGCGTGATGTCCTGTCTTGCAGGCGGGCCGCCCTCCAGCTGTTGCTGCAGCTGACTGAGAGCCGCGTCTATGTCGTCTTCCGGCGCGCCCTCCGCACCAGCATCGCCCACCGCACCGTCAGCAGCCTCCGCGCTGCCACCCGCCAGCGTCTGCAGCTCGATTTGTAACTGCAATATACAAAGTTGGAGTTGAAACTACAGGAAATATTAGGATCAAAATAAACATGGAAGATACGGGGAATATCACGTGTTTTTCTTGTCGTTTATTCATAACTACTTTTTATCTGAAATAATTGTAGATCCGACTCGAAGGACCAAAAAATTTCACCATTATAAAGAAAATTCAAACTATAGTTAAGATTACAAGTAGAATAACTTTGAAAATTTGTAACATTTATAAAGAGTAGTATTGTACCTGTAGAGCTGCGAAAAGAAGCATCTCCTCCTCAGTGCAGTGCACCTCCTGATTGAGGATCTGCCAACGGGCCTGCTGGTAGAGCTGGTTGAGACGCGCCGCGTCCTGCGGCCTCGCAGTCAAGTCGAAGAACGAATAGAACTTGAAGCGCAGCTGCAGCGTGTCCCACTCGCGTACGTACTGTTCCATTATAGACAACGACGAGTCCAGCCATCTACAAACAATGTTATTCACATTAGCTGATCTAATTTCTTCGTGATCCGTTCAACGAAGATCCGATTATTTAAGCTTACCCGACATTCATCCTGGCGCGTTCCATAAGCGATTTGGGAGTGAGTAAAGATTCTCGTGACTGTGAGTCTGGCTCTAGCGGAGAGTCAGCGAGGGAAAGATCGCTGAGACCATCCAGAGCGTCAAGGGAGGAGGCGCGCGGTGGGGTGCCGCAGTAGCCACCATCGCTGGAGCCATCGCTCTGCGTGCTGTAGATGTGACCGCCGTAGCGACGGATGGTGCCATTCTGTAAAAGGAGGAACACAAAACATAAGCACGATTGAATCGACCGGACAACTTTCCCACATAAGATATACAAACTTAAAGCATTTGGAATAAAACTTGGGGTTCTTACATGATTTGAAGCGACAGGCGTAGCTGACAGGGATCTGGGTGGTGGCGGCGTGGCGGGGCAGGGCCCGTTGGAGCGGTCCAGGCTGTTGGAGGAGCCGCGCGTCGCCGCTATGAACGTGTTGGTGTCCGGCGGCTGCGTGGACTTTATTTTCTTCGCCTCCTTCAAGTTCTGGTAGTTCTGCTTCAAGTGTGAGGGCTCGAGGGGATAGTATAGAGACAGTTCTTCTGGATGCCTTATACCTAAAAAACAAAAAGTGGGTCACATCACCATGAACCAACGACCCACAATTAAAAATGTTTTTCAGAAAAGATGAACCTCGAATTGAGTTCATGTTTATTCTTTTCTTCTCCCTATCCCACTTCTCTTCTTCACCAGCAAAAGCCTGACAAATGTCTCCCTTTCCACCACTAAAAATTCTTACTAGTTATATTACAGTGTTGTTCTTACCGAGATTCTTGCATAGCTGTACGACAGCACTGAAGGTGTCAATAGAGAAATCTATCTTGCAGTCGATGTATCTCAGATCGGGCAGCTGTATACGAAGCGGCTTGTGCATGGGTGTGAAATGCAGCGCGGCGTCCGCGTGCACGCCGTACTGGTCGAGTGTGTGCTTTGGCCGAGACAGCCATTTGTTGCGCGTCGGCCACCACAACGCGTGATCTGACCAATCCTTTTTGAAATCTGTAACAGATAATGTATGTTAGATATTTCTAAAATAAATGATAAGAACAATTGATAATAGTAATTTTCCAAAAAAAAAAAACATTTTTGTAGATCGACCAGGTATTGGACTACATACGATGCTAAATATGTAGGTAGACAGAGATTTCAAACATAATATAGACAATGGAAGTATATGCCATAATTTTTATCTCATTAATTGTGTTCATCTAAAATAAAGTTGTCCAAAAGCGAAACACGTCCTTTTTAACATACTCGAACAAGTAAAAAAGTAACATAAGACGATTAAAAAACCAAGATATCCCGTTTCATTTCCGTTACAAAAACGAAAACGCAAAAACATCAGAGCGGTGACGTCAGCAGTGTGAAGAAATCTTTGTTACAATTTTTTTTTATAAATACAGCACCGAGGGGATTGAAACTCGGTATATCTTGAGCGCGTACATTCCCTTTCGGGTCATGACCCGAAATGACTCAATGGGGCATTGCCAGACTAAAGTATTCTAATATCGTCTAATTATTTGGGTGAGCTCATTGCTCCTAAATCTATGTACCAACGTTATCTATGACGTCAGTAGCCAAACTTACACTTATGAGGTACG